CTCGTGATAAGGTTTCTCACTGCCCCAGTTTCTTATCAACATTGATCCCTAAGATAAGTTTTGCCATAAAAAGTGGGGTTTCTTTCCTGATAGTGATCAGCAGAAGAGGTAGATCTAGTATAGTTTCGCACAAGTGATGCCCACGGAGGCTAGTCGTTATAACTTGGTAAACATGACTTAGACTAGACTCCTTATTTCTGTTTATTCCATCCGACGGACGAACCAAATGTTATGATGGCTGTGGAAATGTTTTCGAACATCCATCAAATTGGTTATAATCTCCCACTTCTTCCTTATTAGCCTATGATAGTTCCTAATATAGTCTTATCCAGGAGCGGATTTTTCTCCCTGGAAAAAATTTATTTGAAATTTTCCCTTTTCCTTTTTCTGTACAAATTTACAAACTTTGATTTTCTAGGGGGTTATGTTTAACCGGCTTTGACCGGGCCATTTAGCGACTATATTCATAGCGTAGGAGGTAAGAGATGGTGCCTTCAAACCTACCTCTGTCTAGGACGAAAATGTCCCCTGCACAGCTTTGAACATCGAAACCCATTTCACTTAAAAGACAGATAAGCTCGTCTCGTAAAATAGAGAGGAGATCACTCCACTCTACAGGAATATATTTACAGCTAATCACCACCTGTAGCTTTACCGCGTTAAAAAAGATGTAAGGGATCTATATTTAAGGAGGCTTGCTTCCAGCGACATGTGGCAAACTCAACGCCTTCTTTTTTCCATTACTTCCCGCTGGTTTCCTCACAACCTTGATGAGTAAGTCCCTTTTGGATATGAGCTGGGAAGATGGCATCTGTTTCAGGTGCCTTGAACGGCACGGAGCCAGATTTTTATGCAGAAGTCTATCCACAAGTTTTTTCTAGCAAATCTACTCACTTTATTTTACTCAGGAAGGGCATATTTTGTCACGTTCCCCTATTTCCTTAGCTCGGTAATATTAGGCTGTTACCCAAAGTTTAGACGAATTGTTGTTCCACCACGGAGTCTGAGTGGTGAACATGAAAACATCATAAGATTTAAATGAAATGGTTTGTGATTTTTTCAAGACCTCGCGGAATCTTATGGATCTTTAGTTACTTTTTTGTTTTATTTCAGTTTGAAAAGTGAGAAATATCAAATAAATTCACCCATAGGTTCTTATTCAACAATTCTTTGCTTTTAAGATTAGGATCCGCGAGTAACTTTTATGAGATTTTCGGGCTCTTAAGCAGATATGCATATGTATATCATATATCGCCTTTGTAGATGTTATAGAAAGTATTTCCAGTTTTTTGGGTGCGAGATCCAACCCTAGCAAATATTTTCGACGCCAAAATATTCCTTAAATATTATTTTCATGCTTTTCGTTTCTGCTATATAGTGCCCTGCACATAATAATTTTCATTTAAATTTTAAATAATAAGATAGATTTAAAATTATGTGAAAATTTTATTATAGATATTAATTCCACTTTAATTGCAACATACGTTTTTTGTCAAATAAAGAAAAGTTGCTAAACTGCGAAAAAAATATTCCAGCCGTTGTAACTTCGACGTCAATTCTAATTTTCCAACCATTGCACACAAAAGCAAAGAAAAATGCAAACTCCACAATTGCAGTGGCATTGCTAACTTAATTAGATGCCACGAGGGTTGCGAGTTGCAATTGCATTAACTGATTTGCACATGCAGAGTACTTGTATTTTATTTGTACATATATACATACATACGCACCCTGCAGTGAAAAATTATCAATTGTTTAAAATAACCAACTTTAAGTAAGATTTTTGGTGGGATTTCGATAAATGCACCACTTTTAATTAGCTATGACAAAACAAACTTAATGTGAGTTGTAAAGCTAATCATGCAGACGTAATCGTGAGTTTGTTTTCTTTAAATAAGTTCATAATTAAGTATCCTCATACAAAAACTACTCTAGAGTAAATTTTTTGCTGCACTTCAAAAAATAGTTTTTCGAATTCAGGACAAATAAATTGAAGACCGAAATTTTATATTATCATTTTGATGTTATGTCTGACAGAATATGTAAACAAATAAACAAACCTGCAATGTTAATTATGAATTAAAAAAATAAAAATTTAAAAGATATACAAAAATTACCAAACTTTTTTTTATTGATATTTAATGTCCGAAAGTAGTTAATTACAAGTTAGTTAACATGTGCAGAGGTATCCAGGGTTAATTTTTTTGCGGCCATCGCCCAACAAAAGCGGTTCGCTTTTTTTGAACAAAATATAGAGTTAATAGTTAGCACCAGTGTTCGCATAAACAGACTAAAGTTGGGTATAAGCTAACTTCGATCCCTACAGGGTACTTACACATCTGCATACCTGTGCTGGAAAACTACACACAATTGTACTTTTTTGGGCAATTTTAACTTCATTTGGCATGTTTGGTACAATCTGCATATATTTGTGAATACTTGACGAGAGTGGAAGATAAATTGCAAAAATTTAAATGTCCGTCACGAGCCGCTTACAATTTATAATCTTCTCAGACATTCCTCTAGAAATAACGCAAAATTGTATCCAGATCGAATTAATCATTTGATAAAGTGCACAGTTAAGCATCAGGGTGAGATTTCACAAAAATATAAGTTCGGCAAACCTGCTGAGCAAAATTGGAATAAATAAATATATGACTTATGTAAATAACTAAGTTTGTTTTTCATCTTTTTGTAAACTACATTTTCTTGATATGTACGGGTGTTTTTTCTCCAATTACGAACATTTTCGACGGCAGCTGTAGCCACTGAAAATTTATTTATAATTTTTCTCAATGATGGTCACATTTACCCCTCTATTCTAACAGAGTCACATAACTTAGCTCATCACTGTTGTGGTTTCAAGTGCGCCGAGAAATGTGTCACAAAAAACTCGATTTTGAGTGCTAGAAAAATACACACAAATTTAAAAAATTGAATTGTAGCGGCATATTTTTTGAGCGGCAAGCTTTGAGGCGCGGTAGAAATCACAGCAGTGATGAGCTAAAGTTTATGACTTTGTTAGAATACGGCTGTTAATATTGGTTTTAGTCATCTCAATCGAAAGACCAGGTCATTTTACATAAAAAAGATTTATAAAGCGCTTTACTCTATACGATTCGGTAGAGTTCGCCGCTAATATTTTTTATTCTTTTGATTCTACCGGATTTCCGCGCTTTCTTTAGACTAATCAAATTTCGGTTTCACTACATATAAGTGGACAGAAACAAAAAAAAAATAAATAATTCAGTCTTGTTGCAAATGATACATTTTTAATTTTCCTTGATTCCTGTAACAAAATGTAGATTTTCATAAAAATTGATGCAGCCTCTTTTCCCTCTAAGCTAGCGATATGTATGTACGTATAGATGTAGTCGAAGGTGTTAGACTTCTAAGCCATATTTTGCATATAATTTCGCTTTAAATGAGCATAATTTTAAAATTTCGCATTCCATCACTGGTACGTACGGCATTCTTTTGCGAGTGCTCATAATAAATTAATTAATACGTAGTTATGTAAATTATTTGCGCAGATGTGGTTTAAAAAATCTTACTAGCTAAGCTTTTACGAATGCGGTCAAATTTATGCAATAAAAATATGAATGCATATTAAACTTTTATTTAACATGCAGTCGCCGCCAAGGACTTCCTCAATAGAGGCTGTATTTATTAATTAGTATTAAATACCCATACATATTTTATATATATGCTTGTAAATATGTGCATTAGGGTTATGACTTTTTTAGGTTCAAAGTCTGATAAAGTAAGAATTATCACACGCATCCTTACGGCGAAGAAGGTAGGCTAAAAAGCCATCCAACAGGTATTTGGTCAAATTGAATTCTGTAGCTTTTTTTACTCAGCTAAAGAGACACTACCTACCCCAAAAGCCCTTTATACAAATATTCAGGAGAATTTGATATTGTACGCAGTGGTTTGAAGAATAGATGTCACAATAAATTTGTCTGATTATAGTTTTATTTTGTATCTACGAGGGATAGTTGAAAGACTTTTGTAACACAATTGCAAGAAATTTTGTCTTCAGATGGCATGGTGTAACGATTTAACCGTACCCTATAGAAGCATTTCAGAAAGGTAGTGGATAAGTATCAAAAATATTGGAATGTCCACATACCTTTTTTGCTGATGGTATATCGGTCAGAAGAGCTTGAAACGATGGGTACAACTTGTGAAAAGCAAATTTTCGGCAGTGAAATTTGTTTGCTTATTGACCTGAGACGTCCAGCATACTGGTAGAGGAACCAAGAGAAACGTACTCAAAATTTGAGTGATAATATGAAGGCCAGGTTTGATGCAGCGGGAAATTCCGAGTGTTTCCAAGAAGGAGGTTTAGTGTTGCTTTACAATACATAATTTCAAAAGGAAACTTTTTTCATAACAGCTTGTATTTAACAAAAGTAAAAAAATAAACGATATTTAGATGTATAAATCAATACACAAAACTTTTTCTCATGCTTACGAAGTAATACCGAAGTACTGCACATTAAAACTGGTATATTGGAATGTAGATTCTTTCAAATTCAGTGCTGCCACAACTTTGAATATTTCATATTATTTCATGTTTTAACTATCTAAGAGAAATTCGAGTTCAGAAGAAAAGCACTAAAAAA